GTTCGAACGAAAAGACGGAGGCCAAGGAAAACATTGCGCTGGAAAATAGAGACAGACATGAGGAGAATGAACATAAATTTAACAGAGTTGGAAAAGGAATACACGGACAGAGTAGGTTGGAGAACACCATATCCATATATGTCTGAACTGTAAATAAAATAAAGTAAATAACGAAAATGGTTGGGTTTCTCTCGACAAATACAAATACAAACACGTTTCATCTCTGGCCGTGTGAACCCAGTTGCTAGGTGTGTAACCATATGACGTTTGAAATGAAAATTATTGGGTTGCAGTTCTGGAGTGGACGTCAACTGGTACATTCAAGAACATCTAGTTGACGAGTCTCAACAGAAAAGAGACGCGTGTCTTGGATTCCATCCACCTCTGTGTGAATTTTTTATGAATTAAGGAGAATACTGAGGCAGTTCCAATAGCATGTAACGATTCTAAACGAGATTGATCAACTGCAGTCCCAAACGTTATTAGAAAGATCCAAATAATTAATATATACAAATCACATAATACTTTTAATGGAATATTGTATTTGCATTCCTTCCAAGTAGTATATACTTGTGTTTAGTTGTAGTTACCATTTTCTGTATATCAATCGTGATTCATGGTCAATTTTTCAGCTGGATCTGATATTATATTATTAGTTGATCGAAATTTGTTTCTCACGATCACATCATTAACTTTACCAAACTGTTTTGAAATAACTCTGTTTTCTCACTTATGTTGACGATCATTTGATCATCCCACTTATGCAGTTCTCTAAATTCACTACATCAACTCGGATTTCTGTTGGTAGCAACTAAAGTCTGTCATTATTTATTTATTCAAATAATCCCTAAACTGTGTTGTTTTAATACAGTCTCTCAAATGTATAAATCCGTTTATCATGTACAAATCTGTTTCAATGAATGTGTCATCTACAGTGTTGTGATAATCATTTAGTGGTGTAGTTATTTCGCTAAGCTTCGACCTATTCCTAGATGATGATCGAAATATTTCGTTTCTCTCCTAGACATCACCTATGAAAGGGTGGTTAGGTTCATCAAAGAGTTTCATGAACGCATTTTTATCGAAGGCTTTATCTATGGGAATATCACTCAAGAGGTGAGCATAAAATCCTAAAGTATATAAAATACATAAATTTCTTTCGAATAAGAATTTATTTAGGCTTTTCTTATAGATGATTAAAATGTTGATATAATTTGTACTTATTTATGTATGTACAGATACAACAAGACATGCGTGGGATATAACTGTAAAAAGTGTTATTTTAGAAATCTGTTTCATCTCGACATGAAGTTTCACAACTCTGTGAGGGAGAAAAAAATCCTCGACTTGTCGGCGGTAACATGGACTCTAGGATCGTGAAAGATTAGGTAGCAGAGAACAGCCTATGTCTGGCTAACACAAACTCCCGACGCCTAAACCGAGTCGCTGGTTATGGAGCATCGAACGTAGGCCCTGTTTTAACAACAGTAATGCACAGTGACTTCAGGATCCTGAGAGATTGTAAGGCATGTGAAAAGCAGATTGGATAGTGGTGTTCACCTTCTGCAGAAGACACAGTATTCCTTATCGCACTAACTGTTGGGCACGGTCATCTCTGGTATGCTATCAGGAATCCTTCCTCCATAACCTAATCCCTCACTCAGATTAATGATATCATAGTCTACTGACACTGGTGTGGTTGTGTATATGAGTGTCACTCCTATCGGAGTACTTACCGGAACTCTGATCATACCTTGGTTTGCGCCAACCTTATCTTGTATTTCAGTGGCCAACAACTTTATCATCGTTCACAGACTTATGTGAAGAAAGTGAATACAGCATCCATATTATACCGAATCAGCGTCAGGTCAAATAGTCAATCCCCCAGGAAGTGTAGATAAGTATTGAGTTCGTGTGCATGACTTCATGGGAATGTCTATTAGCATCTCTTCTGATTTTACGGAAAATATCACTGATGAACAGTGAGTTTCTACAGTCCTCTTACAACTCACAGGAGTATATCGGGTCACTCTGGTTAAATGCTAATCTCACAAAAAATGTATATACTTATTTGGGGAAAATCTTCGTTAGAACGTTTTAAAGAACCAAGATCTGACTCCTATTTGAACATATGATATAGTCCCATAATAACAAAATAGCTATCACCCCTACACTTGTATATATATATCAATTTAATTAATGTAACCGAATACCGAAATGAAATAAGTCGAATACGACATAGGATTTCGAATACCTAGATTTCATGCTCGTTACAACAGACATAATACGAACGAAGTGGAAAAAGCAAGTGTGACAACTCCATTTTCTTGAGCGTGACTGAGTAATCACCATCCGACAGAAAAATAAGCTAAAGATATGTTATACATAGGAGTTTACCATTCACTAATTGGTTTTCTTTTCAGTTTGATTTTCCATTGAAACAGTGTCACTATGCACTTGAGTATAGAAATGGTATCTTTTGGATAAAACTAGTTCATTGGTCACCAGACAGAATTTGTCATCAAATCTCTGTCTTGCTTCAGTTTTCTTTACAACAATAGCCGCTCTTAACGAGTTCAGATCCCGACTACATATGGGTTTTTTCATCTACACTAGAAGTTCTTCGTAGATCATTTGGAAAGATTTTTTGTTTGTAGAGAGATGTAGTGTAATGTTAATTTTAAAAGTCAGTTTATCGGTTGCAATGAGCGATTGAAAGTGTAACTAGTTTCTATATTGAACGAAAAATGGTTAAACCGACTGCCTCGTCGAGCTATGTTTTTCGATGTAGGAATAGTTTGGAAGAAAGCTAGGGGTGTCAAAAACAAACATGGCGCAAACACTCTGGCTAACTATTGTAGAATTCTTTTTGAATGTTTTGTTTTTTGGAAAATCCCTCCATGTTTACATATTTTTGCTATGACATGATGGACTTTTTCTCTTGACATTTTTGGTATTTTATTTGATTCCAATTTGAGATTTTATCATTGTATATTGTTATTCTTTCTATATTTGTACTTATATTGAAGTTTTTGGGTTTGCTTCTGAACTGTACATATATTGTTTAAATTTGATATAATATGGCTACCGCCACATTTTTGGACGGACGCGGTGGCTGCTGGACTTAGCTTCACTTATCGGCTATTGTGTTGGATACTCTGCGGAGTAACTTAACCCTGGAAGAAACACAAATTCCGTAAGGCTTTGTATTTCCATTTTCCTAATAAAACAGAGACGTTTTCTCCTAGAATTTTGCCCTTTTTGATTTGGTTGGGACCCGGAACTAGGAAAGGCGTACAGGAGTGTTTCTATTGGAAACAATTGGGACGGCCACTGTCGAATTAAATTTACAACTATTAGTTTAACGATATAACGTTTTTGTGAACCAAGATCTGACTTCTGTTTGAACGTAGAACGTGGTCGCATATTAACAAAATAGATGTCATGCACGCCCTTGAATATGTATCTCAACTTATTTTATGCAACCAAATAACGGAATGAATTAAGTCAAATACACGGGCTTCTTGACTAGGTAAATCTGTTGACGTGGTCTTCAGTTCCCACTGAGTGAGGTGGCTATTACAAATATGCCCAACCACGCCTACTTCGATCGGGAGCAGGTTGGGAAAAGGTAGGGGTTGGTGGGTCGAAATATTGTACCATTTCACAAAACCATTGACTGTTGGACTGAGCTGTGTGGTTGAGCACAGCTAAAGGCGTTCAGTGAATTGATCCAGGATTGTAATGACACAAACCTTTTACGTCCTTCCTTAGATACTAAACTGTGAAATTATTGCATACTTTTCCGTTCCACTAATTCATTCTCTCTCGTTGAATCATTTGTAGGATTTAATTTGTCCTACAGATGAACTTCCAGAACTGTAAACGCAATATTGGCGAGCACAGAGTCTATGGGAAAGCTATAGTTATAACAAGATCAACTTTTGCTTTAAACTTTATGTTTCTAAACATAAAAACAATTAGATTAGTACAATAAATAAATGAATTACAGTTACCAAGTGAAACGACCAAACATACAGACCAATATAGCGTGTCTTATGAAAATGAATAAAACTATGAGTCACATCAATAGAATAAGATAATAATATCCTTCAATTAGTAGGTCATTTACAACAAATAAAGTTTGCAGACACGTGGTGGGCGCTCAAACCACAAATTGATTGATTAGCTATGACATAACTAAAATTAGTTATGGAAATAACTAACATCATTTTCTGTACACAGTATATTGTACAACCACAGATAGTGTCATCACATTTACTTGTCTGTTATTTGTCGTGATAATTTCGTCTTGTCGTAATGATATGTTATGTCAGCTCGAACTCAAAAGAGACATGTAAACCGCATTCGGGATGCACGAATATATTTAAATAAAGTACCTTCATGCTCAAACTTGCCAACAGATTCTCTAATTGATACAGGTTAGTCAAGAGCATGGAAGTCAGAGAAGGCGTGACAGTGAGACAACAAGGTTATCGAAGAAACGTCAACCACCAGAAGACTGACTTATTTTTCAGGCGGTACAGATTATGTAATCCGTCAGTCAGAAGTGGCCTAACCAGAAGGCCATCAGAAAAAACCGGAAAAGATCAATACATACCATCGGTCAAGAAATGGCCCCATTTACTAAAGTGTGATACGTATATGCGTAGAAGAGTATTTGTATATATGATTTGGTAGCTGAATAGACTTTCGTTCCTGCTTTTGCATTCTTGGTCAAGGAGCTAGTTTTTAGGATCAGCACATTTCGCTACCAGATCTTAGACATTGTAAATCATAACAAAGTCCTCCAATTAAATTTCAGGATGGAAGAAAATGGTAAAAATAATACTGTTTTCAATGAGTACACTTAACTTTCGAGTAAAAAAAACGATAAATAAGCAGAACCATCATCTGTACCTGTTATTTACGAACAATAGCTATATCGTGTTACGCAAGTCTTCAAATTAACATTGTAAGTTAAACAAAATTTATTTTTATGTTGGCATCTCATGTTTATACAATCAATAATTTGTAATAATTTATCAATAGACATATATACCAACCGTATTTAAAATAAAAAAAGATAAGTAGTAGGTCTAGCTGCTGAGTAATTAAACAATAAAAGTAGAAGAAGATGTCAAATCCAAAAAAATAAATAAAGGCTTGAAAATAACTAAGGAAATTTTAATATATTTTTAAAACGAAAAAACACTGAAATATATAAAGAGATTTTTGTAGGACAAGACTAAACCACAAGCAAAAGTTATAACCTAGCAGTTAAACAAAAATAATTGCGAATATAAGTAGTTGAAGGATCAAACCTAATTAAACATGTTTAACGGCTAGTTAAATTCACAATTTCTCCAAAAAGAAAAGTAAAGTATAAAATGAAAGATATGAAACCTTGAAAATGACACGTTTTGACGATCATCAAATGACACTTATATTGAATATGTCTACATATACAATTCATAAAACCGAATTAAAACCGTAATACGTTCCCTTCACATTTGGATATGAACATCATGAATGGACTCGCTAAAGCACTCAACGGACAGAAACGTTTCAATTCAGTATAGTCCTTCAAAATGATTATCTAAATTGCAGAAAAAACCATTGTATGTAAGCTTTAGATTACATGATAGTCAATAAACTCACAAAAAGAAAGTAGTAAAAACTAAGCACTGGAGAAAAACAAATAATTTTATTCAGTTAGTAGGTAAAAGAATATCAGTTACGAAGCCGAAAGTAGTGACAAATGAACAGCTGTCCTATTATTTGTAAGGTTGTGGATGACTTAATTCATATATAACAAGCAGTTAACAGCACAATTATTCTCTAGATACAGTGATGAGTAACCCAAAAGCAATGAAGAAACAAGATTATGTCCTGTTTCAAAGACTGAGATTGGTTCATCAACTTAAAAAGACATTGTACCCGGTTATGGCTAATGACTCGCTCGACTATCCCACACACAACCTGGTTGCAATAATGTTAGTACACAGACGATCTATTGTCTATCGATTGGGAATGTTTACAAATTGCAATACAATCAATATGCTTCCAGTTTTTAAACTGAATGGTGTGACAAACCAAACTGAACAACAATATTATTGAATTCTTGCCTCACGTTCTTAATTAGCTAGTTAACCAGAGAAGTGACTAGTAAGCAGAATTTGGTAAGAAAATGCGTTTAATACTCGTATCCAACGAGATTTACTTATAAACGCAAAGAATAATGAGTAGATGACATATACCTTTGTTTTAGCGATAAAATCAGGTTAATGATCATGTTTAGGCGTAAGAAAATGACACAAATATCTGAAACTTGAGTATAGTGTCAAAAGTGCTGCTTTAGTAGGCGAATGATGACGGCATTTTGAATAAACAGCCATTCGAGAATAGAACGTCAATAGTTTGAGTTGCCAATCGAGCAGCGGACAAATATTGCGTAATAACAGATTCCAGATTGCGATTTGCCTGTTATCACATTAACCACACCACAAAAGTAGCTTTTCTGAGTTTTATTGATTTTAAATAAAAACATTTGCAATGCTGTAGTACCAACGAATGTTTATTATGGTAACGTATAACCCAACTTTATAAAAGTGACAGACAACATAATTAGTGAAAGGGATTTATGGAAATTGTATTGTCTTCACTAAACGGCCGTTTCATCTTAGTAAGAAACTTCTAAGCAATTCACATCCAGTTCTTTAAGGTTTCTAATGGTGATCTAAGATCAGATGGTGATTTCGATTACACAGATAACATAATTACCATAAAGAGATGAAGGCCGACAAAGGCCCATCACTCATGACCGAATCGGTGTACTCCATGAGATTCATGAGGGCCAGAGGTACTACAGTCAGAATAGATCATTTTTTTACGAGATAACTCTGAAAATAAACTATCAGTGCATCAAATCCAATATCGGGTAGGAAAAAGAAGTGAGCACCACCTACTTCCGATTTCTATACTAGTTAGCATAACCAATGTCTGGAGAAAAGCTACTGGTTAGTAGACTCAACAATGAAAGCAGTACAAGAAGAGATGCACGATTTATAGTTGAAATTCACAAGGTGATCTTAATCAGTGAGGATAGAGACTTTATGTAAAAAAAAGTGATAGTAGTTCTGATTTCATCTTCTAGTAACTGTGAGTTTTAAATAAATTCACAAACAATATTCTTTAATTTCATCGATTCTTTTAGACTTATAAAGCTTTATACAAATGAAGCCACTATTTAGACTCATTAAAACATTCATCATCTTAAAACCGTTTAGTTGTTACTGGTATACTGTGACAACTTCAGTTGATATATATTTTATTTATGATTGATTGATCTATGTGTCAAACGATCTAAATTATAAACTACTGTTTACTATATATATGAAAATACACATAATGATATTTTATTGTAATAAATACTGATCAAACCCTCATTTCATTAAAATTAAAATGCCGGCAGATCTTGAATATTTAAAACAATCAGACAAAATTTCAAAATATATATATATAGTTTTACTAACCTTTCCATCTTGATTATTGGATTCTGCATCACAGATATGCTTTTCGTTTGATAATACATGAACTGTTAATTTTCGCCTTGTACATGATGATGGATCAATGTACTTCTGAATTTTAAATAAAATGAAAAGAAAATATAAGCAAACAATAAGTCTTCATACAAAATAAAATAATTTGAAAATATGACATACATACATACATACATGTAAATTATTCAATAATCCCTATAACAATACAAACTATCTTGTTCACTTTAGGTATGAGAAATATGGTTGCATAAACAACTAATCAACAGCAACGTAGAACTTCGTACGTACGTACATTATTTCAAGTTGCCATACTATATTACCACAGAGATGCAATTGTCGATTCAAATCCCATTGTAGTGGAGGTAGTAAAAGTATTAGCATTAATAAGAAATTTTAGGGTTCGAAGATATTATTCATGTGCGATCTATTGAAGTAAACTTAAAAAGATAAATGTGATGAAGAATTTCGAAGGTTAAGATTTGAGAGAACACAAAGAATGGATGCACCTGCGCCATTGTACACGGTTCTGAGCCATGTCATTCAGGGTCTCTAACCATCGATTACTATCATCACGAAGGCCCCAACCAAGTAATCTGCTTCTACCAACATGACTCAGTTCACTTGTTGGTGATTTCATGGACTTGTGCCATGTTTTGGTCTGTCCGCCGCTAGCTTTCTTCTAACCTAGTCCTATATCACAGAACCTCGCTCGTCGAGGCCATCGGTCAATAGACATACGTAACACATGTCCGAACCACCTCAACTGACGAAGTTTCAATACTTCACCAGTTGCACAACTTAAACGAAGATAACGACAAGAGTGATGAATTATAGTAAGTCCTCCGGTTTATATGAAAATATGCTTGAAAAGGTTAAACCAATAACTTAGTACCAAAAACGTTTGATATGATTAATCCTATTGTAAATAAATTTGCACACTTTTAGTAAAATGATTATTTGCTACAGTTATATAATCACAAAAGTATTTCTGTTTAAGACCTGCCACATATATATATAGATTTGTAAACATTATAATAAGGAACAACATGATTCAAACCAATGAACATTATTAAAATATCGATTGCAAATAATAATAATTATATCGAAAATCAACAGTGGAAAAAAAATTTATTTTACACGCAAAATATACTTTGAAAAAATTTGAAATACTGAAATTTGGATGTGATATTTTCAACTAATCGAAATGGTTTATTCCACAGAGAAATCTAATTAAACCGGAACTGTAGACTGGAACATTGATGTATTTTTCAATGTGTGCAATTCAAATTTGATAATAATTAAAAAGTAAATTATTTCAGTAAGTAGGTGGTATAAAATTATAATTTATTTTACTTAATAGACTAGTTAATATAATACCTACAAAGCTGACACAAAGTTGACGATCGTACAAAAAGTTTTACAAAAAAGTAAAACCAAAATGATACAATTTTAAATAAGTGGAAATAAATAATAAAATTTTTTTTTGTTGATTTACGCGTACTTTAAAGAAATCGATCACATCATTCTTTTTAAGCGATTTCAGAATGTCAGCCTCATGCAAATCTATAAAATGAAAATAAGAAATTAATGATCAGTGTTAAATAATTAATTACAACCGAATGGAAAGTAGAAGATATTTGTTTGCGAAACATGTTTTCGATAACTGTGAGAATCAATAGTCTATCAGATGACTCTGTTGTACTTAATAAAACTAATGAAAGAGATTTCGAATTTGAAAGAAAAAAGGCTAAGATGTAAATCAGTCTAGTAAGATAGATCGAGGTAAAACGAAACCTCTGCTATAAATTTCACTAAAAGTCAATATTCTGTCAACTGTATGGAACCACTAGATAACCTCAACTTTACCTACTATAGAACAGATTGATTAATGAAGCCTTACACATATCAATTAGGAATATTCTTAATTATAAGGATCATTTTCTAGGAAAATAATTTATTATATGAAATAAATTTCGATAGATTACTCTTTTAAAAATTAGGTATTGATTGAATCAGTGGACTCTGAGAAATTTGTAATCACACTGACATTCTTGGCGTTGAATGTTTAGAATATTAACTTTCAATTAACAGCATAAAGAAACACTGAAAAAAGATGCTTTCAATTTAGCTTACACATCAACGTAGTATTCATTCATGATTAATCACATTGTTATTTGATAAAATACACTAAGTTAGTTGAACAATTGAAATATAACTAACAGCCTCTGTTGATCGTGAGGTGCTGTGGCATTATCTGTCATTGAAAGGTGTACCAAAGAAGTACATCAACCTTATACAAGCTCTCTAGTCGAACACCACTGGTCGAGTGATAGCTTAGGGTGAATTGTCATCGGAATTCTTTACTTCATATGGTGCCCGTCAGGGATGTCCACTTTCTCCATTCTTGTTTAATTTTGTCAGAGATATGTTCCTAGATATAACCTTATGCTCGTCCGACTTTTCAGGAGTGGACCTTCTACCAGGAAAATCGCTTACTGACCTAGAATATGCCGATGACATAGTTCTATTCGGTGAAGACGCTGACAAAATGCAGAGTCTTCTGACTACCATAAGCAACAATGCAAGCATGTTCAGGATGCGGTTTCCTCCTCGAAATGCAAAATGTTGCTTCAAGATTGGGTCGCATCACTACCTGAACTAGTGATAGGGAGCGAAGTAGTCGAACGGGTAGACCGCTCCACGTATGTGGGGTCTCATCAGTGCTGATGGCCTGATGACTAACGAAATCTCAGTACGGATACAGAAGGCTCGATTGGCTTTTGCCAACCTGCGTCACTTATGGTGTAGGCGTGATATCTGTTCTCTAATCAAAGGACGAGTGTACTGTGCAGCAGTCCGATCCGTCCTACTATACGAATGCGAAACATGGCCGTAAAGAGTAGAGGACTTTGGCAGGTTACTAGTCTTTGATTATCAATGTCTCCAAAGCATTGCTCATGTATCCTGGGACAACCGAGTGAGCAATGCTGTCGTTAGGAAACGAGTACTAGGTAAGGATGGCAGATCAATAGATGAAGTGGTGAAACTTCATCAGTTGAGGTGGTTGGGACATGTCTTGCGTATGCCTAACCACCGACTGGGCAACGAGCTATGTTTTGCAGTGTAGGAGTGGGTTGGAAGAAAGTCAGGAGCGGCCAGACCAAAACATGGCACAAATTCATGAGTCATGTTGGTAGATGTAGGCTACCCGGTTGGGGTCCGCGAGACGAAAGTCACCGAAGGTTAGAGACCTTGAATGACACGGCTCAGAATCGTTTGCAATGGCGCAGGTGCATCCACTCTTTGTGTTCTATGAAATTCTAAGCATCTGCATTCCTCATAATCTCTATCTTTCTTCTTCTAAATTTATCTTACTGAATTATACTTCTCGAATCATATCTTCGCTCCCTAATCTTCTATATTACTGCTAATACTTCTATTATTGCTATCACTCTTGGATTTGAAATGACAGTTGCGTCTCTGTACTGATGTGGTATGTCAACCTGAACTGATGTACTTACGTACGAAGTTCTGCGTTGTATCTGTCTGTCTGTCTGTCTCTGTTAGGTAATAATATATTCAACAAGTTAATCAATATCAAATGTACTTAGAATTTATCAGTTACAACATCACTACCATTTAAATTTTTAAAATAAAAAAGTCTTATTCTATGTATTAAACAAAACAACTAAATAGATGAGCAATAATAAAAATAATAAATATATGAGAAAATAATTAATTAACATAACCATACGAATATCAGTGAAATAAACTCACGTCGTTTGAAATTATAATGTCGACATGCAATTTCAGACCATAAACGTTCAAATCGATCTTGCATACCTCTAGGCTTTTCTAATAAATGTGTCAAAAGAGATTGTACATGAACATTGAATTCCTCGTCAGACATATCTTCTAACAATTTCTAAAATAGCAGTATATAAGAGAAAATGAGTAAAGTGAATCTAGAAATCAGTATATATGTATATAGTTTATCATATGGCAGAAATTATACTTTTTATGTGGCATAAGTGAGTAAATTAACACAGTGGGACAAAAATCCTCTCACAAATACTTTCATACTGAGAGAAAACAATTAGTAGCACTCACATTTACATTGAGTAGAAATTCTTCGATTGATTTCTCAATCTTATCAGGATGATAAGTTGATTGTACTAAAATACGAAAACCTTGTAGTTTATTGGATCGTCGGATTCCAGCCTGTACAATATAACCTTCAGTGTAAATAGAATGGTTTCATTGGAGATGATTAAAATCTAAGTAAAATTTTAACAAGCTATATATAAACAAGCTAAAAGTAAGCAACAAAACTAAGAAGTTTATCTGTTCAAAGAATGATGAAATGAGTTTATGTCAAATAGTAAGTAGCATTTCGAGATGGTGGAGAAAATTTGCTACTCAAGTAAATGATTGTGGTGGTGGTGTTAGTTTGTACTGACAACCAAAACATCCAGTTCAGAGGATGAAACACCACCACAGTAGTAGTATTACTTACAAAATCAATAATAAACACAATCGTAAGTGATTGTATAGAAGTTGAATTTATAATTAAACTTATCAATAATTTAGTTTATAATTCACAATAAGATTATACTTATTATATACTTGTGTTCTTGGAAATGATACTACCGGGTTGTCTGTAGAAAAACGGATTAAGGTCCGAAACCATATTTTAATAATTGAATATTGAATGCATTAGGCACTGAGCCACTAGCTGCTTAGAATTTAATAGAAATTTTTTCTTGTATACTATCCTTAATGACAATTGCTTACCTAATTGTTGTTCTGTACGTAATTTATTGAAAACAGGTTCGCTAACAATCTGATAAAACAAATTAAGTAATGTATCATTAAGTGTTGATTGCTCGTCACACTGAAGGTAATAGTAAATTGCAGAAGCTGGTTGACCAGAAATACATCGTTGATAAAGATAACTGCGATCTGAATGGAGAAAAACAATCGAAATAAAAATAATGGACAAAATTAATCATATACATAATTTGGATAACAAATAACTTCATTTTTCACAGCACTATAAGTAAAGGTATATACAATTAGACATTATGATGACATTAAAAGTCCTGTAATAAAACTTATGAAACATCTTACTACAATTCAATTTGATCGGATGAAGGATTGATTTCCTTGATAAAAATTGTTACAAGAAAAGTAAAACTTCGCACATATGTATGTGTATCATTAAAAGTTGACAAACCATATCATGACGACGAGACGAAATTATGTTGCAGGGGCACAGGTGCATCCACTCATTGAGTTCTCTGAAATTATGAATTCCTCATCACTTCTATTTTTCTCTTTCTAAAGTAATCTCACTGAATTATATTTCTTGAATAATATCTTCGAACCCTAATCTTCTCCATAACCGCTAATACTTCTACTATCTCTACTACTATGGGATTTGAAATGACAGTTGCGTTTCAGTGTTAATGCGGTATGGCAACCTGAACTGATGTACGTACGTACGAAGTTCTACGTTGTGACTGACTGAAGAACTTATCAAGACAAATAACAGAGAAGTAAAAGTGATGACAGTATCTGTGGTTGTATAAAAGGTTATGTATGGAAAATGATTCGACGAAAAAGAATGAACTTGAACGGAAAAGTATACAATAATTTTAACATGAAGGATCTACAGGAAGACGGAAAACATCTGTGTCATTAAGAATGACTCTGGACCTTGTCACCTAACGCCCTCAACCACCAATTGAGATAAATGCACAAGCTAAAATTTGCTAGTCTGTGCCTGACCACACAGTCCAACAGTCAATGGTTTTGTGAAATGGTACAATATATTGACCTATTCACCCTTAATTTTTTTCCGACCTGCTTCCGATCGAAGTAGTAGTGGTCGGGCATATATGTAATAGCTACCTCACTCGATGAGGACTGACGACCTCATCAATCGATTTAACAGCTTTACCTAGCCTTGTAATCTGTGTCAGTCAGTCCATTACAACGCAGAACTTCGTACGTACGTACATCAGTTCAAGTTGCCAAAGCACATAAGCACAGAGATACAATTATCACTTCCAATCCCTTAGTAGTAAAGGTAGTAAAAGTATTAGCAGTAATAGGAGAGATTAGGTTTCGAAGATATTATTCAAGAAGTAGAATCTGGTAAAATAAACCTAAAAAGAAAAAGATAAAGGTGATGAGGAACTTTAAAGGTTAGGATTTGAGAGAACACAAAGAATGGATGCACCTGTGCCACTGCACATGGTGTTCAGTCATGTCATTCAGGATCTCTAACAATCGATTTTCATCATTTCACACGCCCGAATCAGGTAGTCGGTACCTACCAACATGACTCGATCCAGTTGTTAGTGACTTCATGGATTTGCTCCATGTTATGGTTTGGCCGCCCCTAGTTTTCTTGGATCTTATTCTTACATCACAAAACATAGCTAGGCGAGGCAGTCGGTTCAAATTCAGTAACTTGTGTCCAACTTCAACATTACTTCCACGATAGTTCAAACATACACAGACGACGCTTGGAAAGTATTTGTGACCGAATACCAACTACTTACGAAGTGAACAGTTTGGTAAATTCAGCTGTTTGGTATACAGTTAGAGAATCTACCACTTGCAAACGACACATACACACAGCTAATCCCACCAAATGCAAAATCACGAAACTTTGACTTTACAAGTGATTTGCAATAAAAATAAACTAGAAAAGGGTAAAATAATCGTTAATAAAAAAATACAACTATCAGTAACAATCCATAAACCGTATTTCTGTCGTCCACAAAGGTGATTACCTTCAGGAATTATAACTTCTCGAGAAGTGAAGATGTGAGACAATGAAAGTGGTTGAGAATTCATCTTCTGCATCAACAAATCTCGAATCATCTCTTGATAACTTACTGCATCCTATAAACAGAAAATTGAGACAGTTATGACCAGTTAAATAAGATGATATCTTAGTGACATATTAAGCTAAATTGTTTAAACCATTTATCGTTCAATATAGAAACTAGTTACACTTTCAATCACTCATTGCAACCGATAACATTACACTACATCTCTCTACAAACTAAACATCTTTCCAAATGATCTACGAAGAACTTCTAGCGCAGATGAAAATCCTATGTGTAGTCGGGATCTGAACTCGTTAAGAGCGGCTATTGTTGTTAAGAAAACTGAAGCAAGGCAGAAATGTAACAACAAATTCTGTTTGGTGACCAATGAACTAGTTTTATCAAAAAGATACCATTTCTATACTCAAGTGCATGGTGACACTGTTTCAATGAAAAATCGAATGCATATATATACTAGGGTAGGCGTGATAGCTATTTTGTTATTATGGGACTATATCATATGTTCAAACAGTAGTCAGATCTTGGTTCACTAAAAATTTCTATCGCAGATTTTCCCCAAATAAGTATATACATTTTTTGTGAGAGTAGCGGTTAACCGGAGTAACCCGATATACCCCTATGAGTTGTAAGACGACTATAAAAACTCACTGTTCATCAGTGATATTTTTCGTAAAATCAGAAGAGATGCTAATAGACATTCCCATGAAGTCATGCACACGAACTTGATGATTATCTACACTTCCTGGGTGATTGACTATTAGACCTGACGCTCATACGGTATAATATGGATGCTGTATTCACTTTCTTCACATAAGTCTGTGAACGATGATAAAGTTGTTGGCCACTGAAATACAAGATAAGGTTGGCGCGAACCGAGGTATGATCAGAGTTCCGGTAAGTACTCCAATAGGAGTGACACTCATATACACAACCACACCAGTGTCAGTAGACTATGATATCATTAATCTGAGTGAGGGATTAGGTTATGGAGGAAGGATTCCTGATAGCAATACAGAGATGACCGTGCCCAACAGTTAGTGCGATAAGGAATACTGTGTCTTCTGCAGAAGGTGAACACCACTATCCAATCTGCTCTTCACATGCCTTACAATCTCTCAGGATCCTGAAGTCACTGTGCATTACTGGTGTTAAAACAGGGCCTACGTTCGATGCTCCATAACCAGCGACTCGGTTTAGGCGTCGGGAGTTTGTGTTAGCCAGACATAGGCTGTTCTCTGCTACCTAATCTTTCATGATCCTAGAGACAAATCTAAGATGTATCTTTCCCCCACAGAGTTGTGAAACCTCATGCCGGAAGAAAACAACAATTTTCATACTTGAATCGTACGCATATGTCTTGTTGTATCTGTACATACATAAATAAGTACAAATTATATCAACATTTTGATCATCTATAAGGAAGGCCGTACTAAATTCTCATCCGAAAGAAATTTATATACATATTATATACCTTATGATTTTATGCTCACCTCTTGAGTGATATTCCCATAGATAAAGCCTTCGATAAAAATGCGTTCATGAAACTCCTTGATGAACCTAACCAGCCTTTCGTAGGTAATGTCTAGGAGGGAAAAGAAATATTTCGATCATCATCGAGGAATAAGTCAAAGCTTAGCGAAATAACTGCACCACAAAAAGATTATCACTACATTGAAATTCATTTATACATTTGAGAGACTGTATTAAAACAACACAGTTTAGGGATTATTTGAATAAATAAATAATAACCGACTATAGTTGCTACCAACAGAAATCCGAGTTGATGTAGTGAATTTAAAGAACTGCATAAATGGAATGATGAAGTGATTATGAACATGAGTGAGACAACAGAGTTATTTTAAGACAGTTTGGTAAAGTTAATGACATCATAAGAAACAAATTTTGATCAACTAATAACATAATATCACATTCAACTGAACAAATTGAACGCGAATCATGATTGATATACTGACAATGGCAACCACAACTAAACATAATGCATTTTCCTATTTATATACAATCTGGGAAGAAGGAATAAAAAATATTCCATTCACAGTAAAATGTGATTTGTGTATATAGATTGTTTGAATCCTCCTAATAACGTCTGGGACTCTGATCGATCAGTCTCGTTTAGAATCGTTGCATCCTGTAAGAATTGCCTCAGTATTCTCCTTAATTCATAAACAATTCACACAGACATGGATGGAATCCAAGACACGCGTCTCATTTCTGTTGAGACACGTCCATTCCAGAACTGTAACCTGATACTGTTCATTTCAAACGTCATATTGTTACAAACCTAGCAACTGGGTTCACACAGCCACAGAGGAAAAGTGCATCTTCGATTGTAATGCTAACCATCACCCACCCATCTCTGATTAAAGTATGTGTGGTTGTTCTATGTTTCAACATATTTCGTTCAAGAAATTTTAACTTGTTGTGATCGCTTTTTTACCTATTATTCGAACAATATAATTCTGTCGATTGTTTTAAATTCACGAGTAATTTTCTACTACCTGAATCGCATTTCTATTTACTTCTTACTTACTTGTGTGTAATGGTACTTGCATTCAGTAAATTTAATTACCAGAAACTTAGTACTGTAACTGATAATCAGAGAAGTAACCAACAGTTTTTCACACATATAATTTGTAAACAGAACTTCCATTTTTCTGTTATTATCGATAGAATACTTTGATTAAATTGGCTAACAACACTAACAATCTGAAGATTCTTCCATATTAGCTTTTAAGAAATGTTTGTTTTCGCATCAACACACTTATAGATGAGCAAACTAAAATTATGTAAGATTCATTTCGGTAAGCGGTAAACAAAATTATTGATGTGTATCGATTTTGTTAAAAGCTGAGATTTAAAAATGCAGTAAATTTAGTGTGTGAGGCATTATAGACTTTACTATGATGAAACACAGGAACTATAAGATCATCGAAACAAACGCGATAAGTCAAAATGATAGTTTTATTTTAAAAAATGGATTTCACTATTAGAATCGAAGAGAAGCACCAGTCAAGTGATTGAGTGTACCAAAATTCCCGACCGCAGCTGCTTATCTCGAGGACTCAACCGGGCTAAATCGGTTGGAACACCTGTTCCCTTAGGCCTTACTATGCCAAGCAGGTTGATTGGAGAACGGTAAGACTAAAAGCAGCAACTCAAGGTCTGAGCGCGAAGTCGTTCTGTTGACTGTAGAGAGGTCTGACAACAGTAAGGTGTTCCCATCGGACAACCAGTAAACGTCGACCCAAAAGATATCACACCTCACCCAGACTGATAGATTTCCACCTCTGGCGGAAACGCCTTTCGAAGAGAGGATCTGACACTTCTCATAACAATGCCATGCATGACCGGTCTCTAGCAGTTGCTCCCAGGTCGCTCAGACCAACGCTAACCCGATTTTCTTTTCAGGCTCCTCAAACAATACCCTTTCACGTAGTGAGCAGCCGGCAAGTGACATCCACCCTCATATCCCTAACAGCACACGAGATCAACCCAGTCATGATCAAATCCTTTTTAACCTCTTAATAACTCTCTCATGTCTTTGATTAACTTTTCCCATATACTTTTATCACCTCACACCGCTGATGCAAACGACTTGAGTACACGAACCATTATTCCCGGTCTCCTGAAACGACGCTCTAAACTACATGTTGGAGCATTTAATGTTTGAACCTTGTGCCAAATAGGACAACAGGCTTCGTTAGCACGGACCCTAGAATCTCGTGCCATAAATATTTGTTGCGTCCCCGAAACGTGCATTCAAGATCACCGTAAAGTCCTCCATTTGAACCCACCTTGTCACAGTAAAGAACCATCGCAAGTTACGCTCCGAGTATCTGGAAGTCCTGCTGCTGCCATCCGTGGATTTGCTGGTGTAGGCATAGCACTAAGTTTTAAGGCAGAACTAGATCTCTCAGACTGGGTCCGCGCAGACAGTCGTTTATGCACCGTCCGACGGAAGCGGACAGTAAGATCTCGGAAACATAGGGACACTCGTCGTTGCCTCTTGATTGTTTCTGATTCCATTATTTGCAGCTCGGATGAGGTAAAAGAAGAATTTTACAAAAATAGTTTCAACCTCCTACAAAACGTTAGGTGTTCTGATATAGTATTAGTGGCTGGTAACTTTAATGCTCAAGAAGGAAGACTAAGCGAAACCCAAAGACACCTAGGTGGATCTTATGATGTCGCGGCTCACCAACTAGAAAATGATGAGCGTCTGCAGCAAGTGTGCTAAGACAATCGCCTATTTCTGGCGCTCTTCCAAATCTCAATGAGGTTGAAAAGGCTATAAGCAATCTAAGGTGAGGGAGAGCAGAACGCTCTGATTGATTAACCCCTGAGATTTTTAAGGATGGGGGTCCAGTTTTAACCGTTAGACTGACTGAGATCTGAGTAAGAATCTGTGAACTGGACGTGATCCCATTCGATTGATCTCTATCTTAGATCACCCAAGTTTATGAGAACAAGCAGAATTTGTTTTGTGACAGTTACAGAGAAATCAGTTTATCTAATATAACGTCTAAGATATTAGCTTCAGCAATACTTCGATGCCTAACTAGAGCAAACTTGATAAAACCAGACTGGTTCCAGACCTGAAGGTGGATTTATAGACCAGATATTCACACAATGTCAGGTACTAGAACATAGACACATTTCGGCATCCGACAATAGCTATGTTCCTTGACCTTAATGAGTCATTTGACTTTGTCGATCATGAGGTTGTGTGGAAGTGTCTGTCATTGAAATGTGAACCAAAGAAGTACATTATTATAATATACTACTGGTCGAGTGAGAGCTCACAGCAAACTGTCTTTGGAACTGTTTACTTCAAGTTGTGTTCCTCAAGGCTGCTCACTCTCTCCATTCTTTATCCTCTTTCAAATTATAATCTACTGAATTTTTCATGACCTTTGTCTTTCTCTTTCGAAATTTATTTCACTCGATTATACTTCTCGAATCATCTCTTCGCTCCCTAATCTTCTCCATTATTGCTAACACTTCTACTAGCTCTACTATTATGAGATTTGAATCGACAAATCGAAATCTCTGTTTTGTGGTACGGCAACATGAACTGATAAACATACGTACGAAGTTCTACGTTGTAGATAACTGACTTACTGTACCAAAAGAATTAGATAGAACAAAGTTACATTTTATATGAAGAATATTCAAACAAAAAATTCAGTATGAGATGGAAAACGACTGACTAGGGATAAAGAAAAAAGAACACAAGGTAAACACTTTCAAGCGGTTAGTTTTCTTAAAAACTACTTGATTTCTTATTGTTTCGTTTTACGTATACTTGGTATTATACGACTGTGGTTGAAAACCACACGCATCAGATGAAAAATGTGTAACACCTCTCAATTACACTACATAATTTTTTGTTTTTGTTTTATTCAATTCATAGGTATTGAATGAAATAAAATAAGATTAAAACGATTTGAAGTTAGCATGAACGACTATGATTGTTGGTACAGATAAAATAATTTCAATGTTCGGTATTAATGAGTGATGTAATCTTAAATAACATGAAATTAATGTTGTACCAATGACTGAAAACATGCTATCAACGAATAAAATGAATTTAGACTTTGATTTGACAAATAGACTAGCATTTGTATGATTATTATTATTATTATTATTATTGTAACGTGCAAGTTGTCTCTATGACGTTTATTTACATTCACCAGGCTATTATTCGTAAAGTATGGGTTATTTAGGGTAACTAAATATCGATTTCAGGTTCTATGTTATTTATGATAAGTCGAAAAGATAAAATATACAAAAGATCAATGCACACAGAATGCTCACCTTTAAAAGCTCGAACAAATTCATCATTAATCCATGAATGTTCTAAAATAAGATTTGTTAAATATGCACTAGACTGTTGATAAGGTGGTTTCATTGCAAAATTCGAAACATCTCGACACAAACCTTCATGGATACATTTGAAACGATCAGTTATTGGTTGATAATAATTTACAAATTGCAATACAATTTCTTTGACAAAACTTTTTAATTTATGTGAATATCCTAAAAATGATAGCTAAAAAAAAAAAGATAAAAATTATTGTTTATAATGGTGTACACGTTCAGTAAAGGATTGATTTTGAGTGAGATCATTTTCAGCCTTTGTAGAATGAGAGAAAAAAACAACATTGATATTCAAAGATATTAGGAGTGAAGCAGTTAACTATCAATAGCATTGCACTACATGGTTTCACATTATTGCTGAATGATTGAAGCTAGAAATATGAACCGACTTAGAAGTACACGGGTACAGTACACTTCACGAGTCCTCAGTTTGGATTTAAGAGAGGGTCACGAATATAGGTACTGCTGAATAGTCCTATATTTGGACTAGTTTTCAATGGTTATGCAACTAAGGCCATTTTATGATGTAAACTATAAAAAGTAAATGTTTCACTTATTTATTAATTATTAACCCAAATGTTTATGCATCAATCAAATTGGCTTTTGAAAAAACAAAGTTTATTCAAAATAATTACATCAAATAAAATTGCATGTTACATACTTTGATACCTTCAGAAGTACGTTTCACATGAACATTCATCCCAGCAAGCATGGAGGAATACGTTAGTTCATTGATATGATCTTCAAATAAGTTTGCGTAAATTACACAAAGCGATGTATGAAAAGGATCAAAGACAGCTAGTGGACTACAAACATGAAATAGGAGAGTAATTTTAGAATCTGTTGAAGTTTTAAAATGTTTCAAATAAATATTATTACGTTATGGATACAAAGAAGGCTAAATGTTATTGTTCAACTGAATTTGCCTTTGGGTAAAAGTATCAGACAAAAGTGGCAAATCCATTGACAAGCCAGTAAGTTTTTATCGATTGAGGTAAGTAGGATATGATTAACATAGACCTTATCACAATTTACCTCGATACGTGATGCCTGTTGGTGTCGGGGTAGGTCAGAAGTAAACTATGGGCCGCTATAACAAAATTTAGTACCTCTCTACTAAGTCACTGATTATGAGTTTCAACAAGTTGATATATTTAGACTTGATTGAAAACTAAGAGTAGAATGGCCAAGAATAAGTCAGTGAAGCAGATGCACTGACTCTTTATCTTCTTCCAGGTCTTGAATCCCAGTTCATATCTACTTATCTTTCCTTTCTGTTTTTCTGAACCCTATTCTCAATGCGCCTAATTCTTTCCGCTATCTGTGCTACTGCATTATTCCGATCTCTTTTTATAATGATCTTGTGTTAAATTCATTTTCTCATGCTAATGCGATACGACGACTTGGACCAACCAACGTCTTTTTCAGGTTTAACGCTGATGATGTCAGAATGAATTAGTCATGTAATAAACTATTTGGAATGTGATATGTATCATGTGGTAACTTATTGAATTTATTCGATTACGCATTTACATGGATCTGTTACACATTGGAAACATATTGTATCCGATTTTTACTTGATAACTTTGAAAAAAAACTGTAACACTATTACAATAAAGAGGATTGATGTTGCTTCAATGTTTCCTAGCAATCTGAAATCATCAAGGATAATAAATGCGGATTGCACCATCTCGATAATATAATTGATTGATGAAATGGAGATTAATGTGAGGCAGCTATACAGCTTTAAACCACTAAAATTTCATAAAGATGCTTAACAAACCGCATAAAATAATACAGTATAAAATTAGAAATAAAAGTAGGCTTTCAAATATAGTAAAATTTTAACTGATTTTAGAAGCGCAGGTAAATGTACACTGGTTTGACATTAACTATGTCGATAGCCTTTAATGGTATTTTATTAGCCTACTGCCTCGGTTGAAGTGTGGTTTGAATATGTGACTTAGTGCTAGGCTACCATTCTATTAAGATATAAATGAACTTTAAATAACTAAGCAGATGAAGAGGTAGCTCAATGGTTACGGAGTTTGATGAAGTTACAATTCCGAACCCCGCTCAGTATATTTTAGTTTTGGCGGCTATCGAGTGGTATCACTAGCCCTTAAACTTACAATGTAGCTCGAATCCAATTACATGGAGCTAAAACCGGTATATTAATAATATTGATGATAAAAATAAAAATAAACCAGTTAGTGCTGTAGTGATAACAAAGAAATAGCAAACATCATATTGCAAAAAACTCAGAACACAGTAACAGAGATAAAGTGTACTTATTTGGCATAGTTATCACCAATGGTAATACATATAAATGAAAGACAGAAACTCACCTAACAATATGAAATGTGATAAAACCTTTGGGAAGATTGAATTCAGTATCTTGAAAGTACCAAATTCGAGACATCTCTGTTTCAATTAATAATTCCGGCATATCAGCATTTGTGGGGCACTTGTTTTGTATTAAATCAAATTCAGTAGCAATGAATGGATTTGGCTCTGGAAATTTTAATTCTGGATTAGTAGAACAAGTTCGCCATGCCTATGGGAAAGAATTAAATTGTTAGAAATACAAAATCTAAAACAGAATAGGAAGCGTTGAAGTAAGCACATAAAAATATGAATAGTACATCTCGACCTATTAATTATTAAAACATTAAATTGTTGAGATTAACCTTTTGCTGCTGTTTAGTCAAAAAAATAGTCGACTAGTACGTGAACCAGCTACGAACATTGTACGAACTGACATAAATAAGAGTCACCATAAGCTATCACAATTTACGTCAACAGCATCAAGAGAGAAAAAATTTGCAAGCTGGAAGGTAAGAATAATGAGTTGAACTGCATTAAAACAAAAACGTTAGAATAAACTATATGAGAATAACAAATAAGTATGTGGAATGACACTAAGTACGATTTTAAGGAAGATATAAATGGATGAAACTGTAATACTAAGTGATTTACATTCATGTCAACCAGGATTCCAATAATAAATTACGGTAATCGAGTTCAAACTATTTTGGATGCTGGATCACCGGAAATTGCCGTGTAAACCTATTAATTTTGTAAAATATTTGTTGGGATGGCTCACAGAAGTCTCCAGAGGCTTTCAAGAAATTGAAGCGCTTCCATTCAATTAGAGCTCGAGAAAATTTCTAGAGTTGATGTGGAATTAAGTATAATTGCATGATGATGTAACATCGCTAATTGCGGACTGGATGATTTCAATGTTTTCAATCCATACACAAACAATAAATATACACGTTTTCTTAGTATATTTCGACACCTACAGGAATAAAGGCTTCTTCTGCTATTTTTCTGCTTTGCGATCTGAGAGTGCAGTTCTACTGGTCCTAGTGACAAAGATTGTATGGTGTATTAGCCTTTCTAATAGTAGACTTCACATCATGCATGGAACTGTGAATTTCCCTTAATACTTTCAGTTTGTTTCCTAGTTGGGAGGACCTTAAATTTCACTGGTTACTCTTTTCTTTAAGTGTGCTTGCTATTTTGTAACTCTTCCAAAGACGCTTTTAGCACAGTATATATCACTCTTGAACTGAATGCTTATTTACTAGTTTGCTTGAGGTCGCTTGTGGATTGTGCATTCTTCCTGCTCTAATAAACTGGGTTGGGCCGCAGAATATAGCTTAGCTGTTTTTTTACTGTATCACTGATTAACGTTCCGTTTCCCATACCAATTCATATGTTAATTATGGCAAACACAGCACAAAGTCATAAACATGTTTCAGACTAGGAGCCAGTGACTTCGTGGAATTATGTCACTTCTTGGTTTGATCTTCACCAGCTATCTGTTATACTCTTATGCTAGTCATTGTTGCACGATAAAGTAGGCAACTACGTGAACAGTTTTATAACTTCTGTTTGCTGAACAAGCGATGGGTATAATTACTCCTAATTTGAAAGACGATAGAATTTCAAGCAAGTAAACACAGTTCTACTTCTAACTAAAAACCGTTTCGTATTATCAAACATTATAAACAATACTTTTAATCTGAAATGGATTTTAGATTAAAATATTTGCTGTGAATAATAACTTACTGACAAGGTGTTTTCAGGAATATTATTAGCAAGGTATTTAGTGTGATACCAGGGTTCTTCTTCCACACACTTGTCTGTATAAGTTTTACTGACCAGAAAGATGCTACATAAAAACGATAATATTACATAAAAAGTGTGAAGTGATATTTTGAACTTGTTACTGGAAACAATTGTCATATTTATATTTTTTGAAATCATAAATCGATCAGTGTTAGACCACCATTAGAAACCTGGAAGCATTGGAAGGCCAAAGACAGTAGCTGAGATCGCGCAAGACCGAGGAATGATCGAAGTTAGACATTAACATCGTTGGATGCCGGCTCACTGGCCCTGAAGTTGAACGTTCGAGCACAAGACCGAAGGTCCTGAATTGGAATTCTGCGAGTAGTGGATGCGCACTGCTGATGAGTCCGAAATCAGGACGAAACGGCCATCCATTGCTTCCAGGTTCCTAATGGTGACCTAAAATTAATCGAATCATGATTTCAAAGTAACTCCACAATCTCCGAAACCCTATAATGCATATATATACATATGTATATATCTCTCTGTACAGAAATTGTTCTAACTTAGTGCATCAAGACACGGGCACTACTCTAATAATCAACCACTTTATCTATGCTACTAAAACTCAACTGCAAAACTCCCGGCGTATTTATCCAAATGTGTGAGATCAGAAAAATAAGTAAGACAAATATTAAACAGTATCCTGAGAAGCATTGTATAACATTTCTGTCTACTGGTCTCTTTGCAAAAAATAAATTTAAAGCTTCGTAATTGTGTGGTATTAATATTTATGGCCTCTGTCTAACCTGATATCAAGACCTACAAAACTTAGAACATATCATGCTTTCCATAGAATATATAGTAAATAATATTGTAAAATGTCCGAATGAAACAAATGCTCCTGACAATCCACTTAATTTTCAAAACGTATAATAATATCGAACTGAAAATGTTTTCAAGTACAGTTTACAAAACAAACACTGGTAATGATATAATTGAAAAAAGGAAAAATTATGTTTTCAACTTATTAATTGAATAAATCGATAGGACTTGGTGCTTGATGATTAGTTAGTCGAGTAAATATTTTTAATTTGGAAAATTCGAAAGATAGTTGCAATTAGTAAGAATGGTACTTCTAGTTGCCCATCGTAAAGAAAAGTACTTAAGAAAAGGTATGTAAGAATACAATCTGTTAGATATTTTTTTAAAACTTTAACAACTAATAATGATAGAATTCTGACTATTCAGTAAATTCTGAAGGAGATCTTAGATAAGGAACACTAAGCATCGAATTAGCTGTGCTTTCGTCTTTAAATGGCAGAACATCAGAAACCATACATTGAAATCTACAAAATACCAAAAACTAACACAATGCTGCAAATTGAAAATCTTATGAAGAACTAATAAAACATACCGACAATTATCAGGTGTTAAACAATTTAAAATTTTTTTAATTAAATCAGGATCGTAGGTAGCTGCCAAAAATGGACCCGTCAAAACATCTTGAAGTCCGTAAAGCTAGAAAATATATTTTGAAGAAGGAAACGATATTATATTTATTTATGCATATTTATAAGTTTTTTTTGTAAAAATGTTTTCACTGATGTTGAGAATAGGAGAACTCATAAATATCACATTCATGATGAAATCAATTTTAGAATGAGTAAATTGATTTAAATTGAACTTTCCGCATTAATTGTCGGTGTATTTTCACCTGTATCGATTTATGCGATATGAAGTTTGTTATTTTATTTTATTTTTAATGTACATTCACTGTACTGATTAACGCACTATGATTTGTATTCCTTCGGTAAAACTATAATCATTTTAACAAATATATGGTTGATTAACTACACTTTTTTGAATTATATTCATGTTTTTATTAAAGTTGTATTTTTTGGCCTTGTCGTGGCAGGCATGTTGTTTACAAAATTTGTTCGACGGTTTTAACCGGAGTTGGAAAACCCTGATTCCAAACGAATGATACATATGGGCTCTAGGATCCGGATGCAACAAATGGCGTATGAATATATTAATAGAGGCTAACTACCACAGGACTGCCTATCCTGACGTTGCTCCATTCCCTTGTGGATTAGACATGTAAATCAAACGCTCGGGGAGTGGCTCTCAAAAAAAAACCACCTGCATCAGTTTCGGCAGCTGGGCAGTATATCTTAGCCCATACATAAATTCAGCTAATTGTGTGTTGTATGCATATTTTGGTGCCCCTTTGTACCAATTATTGTGTTTAAATAATAATAAAGCATAACTGTCAAGGAATGTTCAACTATCCAAAAAAATTTAATGAATAAATTTAGAAACAAATGATAAACCGGTAGCTAATCAATTAGTAAAAACAGTATATAAGATGGATGAAAGTGATTCAATAACCTACATAATTTATAAATTCTGTAGATTAAAAATTATGGAGCCATAGTCAATTAACACTATTTATTCAGTTGAAACACTGGCACACAGAAAAGAAATAGCCTTATAAACACGACATTGAACGTTAACTACGTAGCATGAGAATGGCTTTGACAAGAAGTTATTATAGATATTAGGCAGTGACTTTATAAAAATAATACTCCTAGCATTGAAAAATGGGTTATTATCTCTATAATCATGTCTGGTAATTATTTTCAGAATCTAGTTATCTTGAAAAGTAGACCGGTATCAAATGTTAGTGCTTTATCCAGTTCACAGAAATGGAGGAAAAAATTTTGAGGAAATATAATAATATCTCAATTGTCCGTATAAATTTATATTTTCAATCAGTATGAATGAATGAACTGAAACAGTAAATTTCAGTCATTTAAAGAATTACACTTCACACTAGGTCAACTTAAAAAGTGTGGATTATAATAATACAGACTATAGGATAAATGACCTAACTAAAAACAAAAAGTAGTCAGTTGTTTACGATTTCGAAGAATGAACTTATGTGGACCGTCGTGAGGAGCACCATCTAGTTTTAAATACTTAGTTTCCAACAAATCCTATCTCTATTCATATAGTTAGGATATATAAATACTGATTGAAGTTTTGCTTATTGTTGAGAATCTTTCTTCAATGTGAAATATTCAATTTCATGCACAAACTATCAAAACGTTTTACAAGTTGCTTACCAACAGATTACTGGCTAATCCAGCCACATAATCGTAAGGTGGTTCTTTGTCTTTAAATCGAAAGTTTAGTTGACATAAAGCCTAAAAAATAGAAACACAGTGATTGATTAGAAAACAATCCATTCAATAAATCACATTGATCCATAGTTAAGGATTTATTCACACTCATGATTAACGTAAATGAAAACGTTGCCCCAAACAATCGATTTTTTAAATTATGGAATGACCGTGAATAACAAGAAACGGTACAATCATGTACAGCATTAATCTACAATACTGTATATATATATATGATGACTATAATCCGAGATAAAAAGCTAAACATCTGTTAAGATTTGCAGTACATGAATAATTCTAATGTCACTTTGAACTAAGATAAGATATTCTAAGCCGCAACTATTTAGAAACATTCATTTTGTAAGACTAAAGAAAAATGGTTGACAGTTAACAAAAAAGTCGATTACATGCAAGATTATTCGCTATAGGGGTTACTAAACTGAACAGTTGTCACCTGGGGAGACTTAACACTTACAACAACTTGCATATTAGAAAGTTGGAAAATTATGACGAATAATAAGGAACATACTGCTTTGAAAGCCTTGAAAATAATTATAAAGTGTGATTTTATACAGGTCAAATCAACAATCTAGCACTCGACCAATTCATTATAGAACACTTCTAGGAAACCTACTAGACAGCTTCTTCAGAAGTGATCACGTATCCCACTTATCATAAGCCCTAACTTTCGGAAATGATCGAATAACTTTACAGTTTTACTGTTTTTGCATTTTATTCATTTCCTTCCAATTTATTATGTGATGTGGAAACAGAAACTGACGCACATAAATGTTTGTGTACACAATCTACTGACACAATACCATTGTTTATTTTGATCAAATAAATAACATAACTATATTTCATCAAAATTAGAAACGATGAAAAAAACAAATCAAAATCCTACCTGTTCTTCATCAAATATCCACTTTTGTGGTTCATCAGAACGAAGCATATTAATGTACTGATAGACATTTGTTATAATTTCATTCGTGTTCTCTGTATAAAAAAAATTTAGGGAAATAAATAAATTTCTGTTCTAGTCTACATATATCTTATCGGAAAGAAAAATGTTCTCACTGAAACATCTACATTCTTGCTAATGATTCAATAGGTTTCTTTCACAATATATTTATTTATTCCACAAACTCATTTAGCTAAAATGTTTACACACACATGAATAATAATAGTTGAAAATATGAAAAAATAACCAAAAAAATTAACTCACCAAGTCCTTTCAATGTCAGCTCAATGGACAAGGATAGGGAACAAATTCCTTCTGCTATTCTACCAACTCCACATACTAATCGATTAGCCCAACCTAATTTTTTAAATAAACTCAGTAAACTTCCATGACTTTCGTGACCAAGCAAGTGAGTTACATAACTAGGAGCCTGTAGAAATTTCAATTGAGAGAACGAAGTAAATAAATAATTCAAACTAATAAAGAAGTTTCGTCGAGATCATAATAAATAAGTATGATAGTTTATATCAATAAATTGATATTCCAATCAACAACTACCGAGAAAATATAGTAAATCATAATAAAACGATTACATATGTTTAACACATAATTCGCATTATCATATTGAACAGAGAAAGAACAAAGATTTGAGCAGAATAGCATGAAATCATTTGGTTATGTTTAGTGTTCATTTATTACGCAACCAATTGTTTCTAGCTCTTGAGATTTGTGTAATCATTAATGTTGTAGAGTATTCTTTCACACATAGTATACAATTACAATATTTTCTTCAGTCTATTGAATTTATTTACGACTGTGTTATACTATACTGATGAGTGATCATAGCTACTTCCAGATAGTCTCTCATGTAGTTTGTAATATTTTTTTGAATATTACAGACTGTAAGCAGCTGACGAGAATCAAGAGAAGATAAAAAAAGAACTCACACAGTTCAACTGAAATCTTAAATATATATTCAGTATTTAAATTTAAGGTAATTCTCTATATAAGCTACTAAAATCAGATAGCTATGATGTTCCTAAATGTATGTATTATGTACAGTCCGTAAACCTATGTATTTCTGAGTTTTTAATGTTTATGACTACATTTTAGCCAACCTTTGTTGGCACAAAATGGGCTTACAGTGGATACCAAGACTGTAAAATGAAACAAAATCTGTGAAAATAGATAATATCAAGATATATATCAATGGAGCACCAATGCCAACAAAGATTGATCAAAACATAAACTTCGAATGATAAAATTTAATGACCGTTTGATAATATAGTAAATAAACAATATACACTTTGCAGTGAAAAATAACGGGAGTAAGATACTCTGAAATAACATCAATATTAAGATGCGAATTCCTAAACAAGACAAAGTACACGTTGCGGATGCTTTTCCTAGTCACAATTTAAAATCGAATATAATAAGCAGAGATGAATGGTGGCTAACGTAGTCTATATCTAATAGGTTGGACTATAAACCGAAACAATCATTTCATAAATAAAGCAAACTCCTACTTTTCAATCATTTGATACATATATACATTCAAAAACAATTAACAGAATGTAAACAGAGAATAATCAATTTACACTTGTACATAAGTTATCAAATCATTTGAAAACAGTTATTTACTTGTGCTCTATAATTCGGAATATAGTCAGGAATGGGCCACATAATATTCATTTGATGAATATCGTTCAGTGGGACGACATAAACCATTTTCTGTAATAAAACAAGAATACGTTTATTTTAACTTAAATCTCTTACCTACTGACAAAAATTCTTAAAATTAGACCACGTCCTGTAGCATTTATCGGACTGTATTGATGCATCTGACAACCATGAAGTAATGATATAAAATTTACATGACGGAATGTCTAACTTCAAATAAAACATTCTACAGACTAGAAATCTACACACATCATTGCTACACTAACTTTAATGTTTCCATTTTCACTTTCTCGTATTTGAAGCTCCTAAATGCTGTGTTCTTAAACGAAAACCTTACTAATCCACTATAGTTTACTCTATCTGTGAAAGAGACTGACTCTAAATGACTTTTCATCTATGGCAATCAACAATGTGAGCTCACATATCATTTATTCAACAAAATATCTGCTAGACTAATGACACACACAACAACCAAACCAAATATGTACATTATACTCAACAAGCCCATTCAGTGCAATAAAGGTCAAATGAAAATATTACCTTGAGACAGATATCAGGCCATGGAGTGTCATACCATGATGGTCGAACAACATTACGATCCATAACCTGAGAAAAATTATCTTCTGCAAGCTTCTGTAAATCGTCTATAGATTCTGGAAAGGTTTCATCGGAAACAAGTACAAACACAATTAAAGAATAAAAACTAACTACATCTCGTACTCACATGATGTGTGACAAATACAAATATCCAGATGTATCAAAATTAACATAAAACGAACAAAATATCAGTCCATTACAATTTCGTAGTTGTTAAAGCTGCATATTCCACAAGTCGGGAAAGTATGAAATACAAGTTCAATTTGAGTCACAAACAATGGCATTGTACCATTTATTTGAGTCATCCGTCAATATGTCAATACAGTTTGTTCTTCACACGTTCTCTTTCTCACTCATCTAGTACTCTCCATAAAACACAGTTTCTAACCACGAATAACACAATTCAATCACAAAAGTTGACAAGAACGATCTCATTCTTGAGTAGCTTGAGCGTTTGTTCGGCAACATTTTGATTCTTATTGCCACTGCATCACATATGAGACGATGCCTCAGATAATATATATAAGAAGGACAATACAGAATTAATTTTAGTCCCACACATTGAGCTAATGATGAACATGGTGGTATCTCGTTAAAAACAACCAGTTTCATAACATTTTATGCTTTGTCTAATCTTAGTGAATCAATCTTCGAATCATATTTTATATTGTGATGAAAAATACAAAACGTTCCTATCCACTGACTAACCAATTCACCAGACACTCACAGCCCAAAGCATTTCGCGTCACAGATTGAGAACGTAATGAACCAATCAGTAAAACTCTAACGACTCACAGTTTGATGGTCCATCCATACATTCACAGTCCGAAATATCAATCATGAATCAAATGCCCGTGAGAGTGTAATAAGCGATAACAGTTTTACATAGTTTAGATATGTTGAACTTTTAAAAACAAATGCAGAGCTCAGAAGTCAGGAATTTTATTAATCAATCTCTTTCCACAATACTTATGTTATGTACCTTTTCCAAGAATGACCAGTCCCATAATATTTGACGAATACCATGTTGAGTGGAATTGTAACAACTGTTCACGTGTATTCACTGACCGTGCACAACTGGACTCAAATAAGGAGTAGCGATTGCCGGAGAAGAATTTCGCATAATCATGACCACTTTTTGACAGGGTTCGTTCAAGTTGAAAAAGACGTCTAGTATCATTGCTAATATCCTTTTCATGTTCCGACTGTACAGCACTCACCTGAAATTAAAACTTCACTTATTAATGATGATGTACACAGAAAAAACAGTAGGGCAAGTTATCTGTAACACTGTCGTTCGGTCTCACTAATCGAGTCTAACTGACTTAAACGAGGTTTACTTCCTATTACATAAAATATCTATAACCTTCATTTTGGCAGTCACGGAAAATAAACCCAGTACTCTTACAACTTCGAAGCATAACAGTTCAATTTGGTAGAAAGCTGTTGTCAGGTCTACAAGAGACTGAGACAATATGACAAAGTCGCTTTTGCTCACACATATAGTGTTGATGACAACACTAGGTTTGATAAATATATTTTAACGATCTCAATCGGAAAAGTAAGAAAAATGGTACAACCACACTCAAAAGGTTATCGAAATCGTCTTCAGTCTACAAAACTCCACATCTATTCCAGCATCTGCATAAAAACCACTACCTATTCTTTTGACAGACCAATTTTCTAACGATAATTATTCAATCGGAATCACCAAGTTGTGAGAACAAATCATACCATTGACCGTTTACAGAATTATGCTTTAAAATTGATCACAGCCCAGATGAATTCCTGATTTTAAAACTTGCATCTTAGACGTCAAACTACCCGTTGTTTTTACTTATATACCCTGTTTTTTCTTCGGTTTTTATATACTTTAGGCACCATTATTTGAAATCTGAAGTTTAGCATTAATAAAGTAACCCGGAATCCCATGTATTTGTGCCTTGCTGTAACCAAAGTTGTAGAGATTGCAGTAATGGAGAAGATTAGGGTTCGAAGATATTATTCAAGTATAAACCAGTGAAATACATTCAGAAATCGAAAGATAGAAGTGATGAGGAATTAGGAACAGAATTTCAGAGAGCACAAATAGTAGATGCACCTGCGCCAATGAATAACGATTCTGAGCCATCATTTAAAGTCTCTAATCATCGGCGACTGTCGTATCGCGAACCTTAACCAGAAAGTATACACATATCAACATGGCTCAATCCATTTGTCATTGATTTCATGGATCTGTGCCATGTTTTGGTTTGGCCGCCCCTAGCTTTCTTCCAGCCTACCTCCACAACAGGCATCATCTCTCGCCAAAGCAGACAGTGGTCGGGCATTCGTAAGATGGCCCAACCATGTCAAATTATGACGTTTTACTACTTCATCTATTGATCACCCATCCTTGCCAAATATATATATATATATATATATATATACAAAAGAGTTGTACCATGGTTTATCTCTCGAATTAATTTTACCACCCAAAAAAATAAATTCCGATCAGAGTTCGCCATAAGCCCTAAATCGACCTGTAGTATCAGTTAGTAAGTCAGTTGCAACGTAGAACTTCGTACGTATGTACATAAGTTCAAGTTGCCATACCACACTAGCACAGAGACACAGATGTCAAATCAAACCCCATAGTGATAAAGATAGTAGAGGTATTAATGGTAATGAATAAGACTAGGGTTTGAAGATATTATTCAAGAAGTATAATTCAGTGAGATAAGGTTAGAAAGACAAAGGTAGAGGTGCTGACGAATCCAGAAGATTAGGATTTGAGAGAGCACAACGAATGGATGCACTTCCGCCATTGCAAACGATTTTGAGCCATGTCGTTCAAGGTCTCTAACCATTGAGACTTTCGTCTCGCGGACCCCAACCAGGTAGCCTATGTCTACCAACATGACTCAGTCCAATTGTCAGTGACTTCATGGATTTCTGCCATGTTTTGGTTTGGCCGCCCCTAGGTTTCTTACAACCTACTCCTACACCACAAAACATAGCTTGTCGAGGCAGTCGATGGTTAGGCATTCGTAGCACATGTCCCAACTACCTCAACTGATGAAGTTTCACCACTTCGTCTATTGATCTGCCATCCTTAACTAGTACTCGTTTCCTGAAGGCAGCATTGCTTACTCGATTGTCCCACGATATACGAGCAATGCTTCTAAGACATCTATGACCGAATACTAGTAACCTACGAACATCTTCTACTCTTAACGGCCATGTTTCGCATCCACATAGGAGAACGGGGCGAACTGCTGCGCAGTACATCCGTCCTTTGGTTAGCGAACGGATATCTCGCCTACGCCATAAACGGCTTAAAATTGCAAAAGCAAATCGAGCTTTCTGTATCCGAGCTGACACTTCTTCAGTCACCAGGCTATCAGCACTGATGAGACTCCCCAGATAAGTGAAGTGATCAACACGCTCGACTACTTCACTTCCTATCACTAGTTTAGGTGCCGATGCAACCCAGTCTTGAAGCAACATTTTGCATTTCGGGGAGGGGGGAAACCGCATCCCGAACATGCTTGCATTGTTGCTTAGGCTTTTTGTTAGCCTACGTCTTAGCTGACTGCTCCTCATAGCACTCAGAGCCAGGCGTGATGAGTTTTCGAGCATCCATCAGATCGGTGGATGCGACTGAAATCCACGGTTTCATTCTATGCTTATGGTTTACCTTACTAGCTGATATCACTGCTGTTTCTAGTTGTTCCTGAAATATATTCTTCGCCTTATTATCATTAAGTAGAACCCTAAGAGGTTTTCTTGCGATATTTTTCTGGAGTCCAGTAAGCCTCAAACAAATACGCACTCGCACTAGGGCATGATCTGAATCTAAACTTGTGCCCCAGAACGAGCGACAGTCCTCTATCGAACCCCTCCATCGGTGGCTGATGGCGATATGATCTAGTTGTGTCCAACGTTGAGACGACTTCGGGGGTCGCCAGGTCAACAGATGTCTTTCCTTATGCTTAAAATTAGTGTTTGCTAGAAATAGTTGGTTATCTGAGCACAGTTGCAACAGACGGTCGCCATTGTCTGTTCTTTGAGCCACGAGACCATAACATCCACCTAGGTGTCTCTCATTTTCACTTAGTCTACCTACTTGAGCATTGAAGTCACCAGCCATTATAACTATATCAGAGCGCTTAACTTTTTGGAGGAGGTCCGAAAGCTTTCTGTAAAACTCCACTTTCAGGTCGTCTGAACTGCAGTCAGTGGAGGCGTAATCCGATATGACGAAGAGGACAAGACGAGTGTCCCTATCCTCCCGAATCCTTACTGTCCCGTTTGGTCGGACAGCGCACAAGCGACTATCTACAGGGATCCAGTCTAGGAGAGATAGTTCTGCCCTAGGACTCAATGCTATACCTACAACAGCGAGACCCCTGGAAGCAGCATCAGGTCTACCGGATACACGAAGAGTAAATCGAGTTGCTTCCTTATCTTGACATGGTGAGGTCAAGTGAATGATGTTACTCGGATCCTGTATGCGCGTTTCCGAGACGCAGCATACATCGATGGCGCGAGATTCCTAGCTAATGATGCCTGTTACCCTATTTGACACCATGTCCGTACATTAAATGCTCCAACATGCAGTTTAGAATGGGGTTTCAGGAGACCAAGAATAACGTTCTGCGGACTCGAATCGTTTGCATTAGCTGTGCAGTGTGATAAAGGGATGTGGGTATTAGAGGGTGTAGCAAGGATTTGATTTCGACCGATTTGGTCTCGTGTGCTGTTATGGATATGAGGGCGGTTGTAACTTCCCGGCTGCCCACACCGTGGAAGGTTTGTTGAGAAACCTGAAAAGGAAGGTAGATTAGAGTTGGTCTTAACGACCTGCGAGCGTGATCGCAGAGTCCAAGGGATAACTGCTTGAGGTCGGTCACGCACGGCATTTTACGAAGGGTTTTTTGAGTATAAGCTCAGCTCTTGAAAGCCCTTGGTGGGCACCCTTACCGCCGAAGACGGAAATCCGTGAGGTAGGGTGAGGTGTGACATTTTTAGGGTCCACATTTTCTAAACCTTCCTTCCTTCTGAGAAGGCAGCATCGCTGCAGATGCTGGTTGTCCGAGGAAAACACCTTACTGGTGTCACAGCCCTCCGCAGTTAGCATTACGACTTCACCCTCAGACCTTGGGTTGCTGCTTTTAGTCTCATCGTTCTCCAATCGACCTGCCTGGCATGATAGAACCTTCAGGAACACATGTTCCAGCCAGTATAGTACGGTTGGGTCATCACGATAGGCAGGCTCGACCACAGCGTAAGGTAGCAGCTACGGTCGGGAGTACTAGTTAAGGATGGCAGATCAATAGACGAAGTGGTGAAACTTCATCAGTTGAGGTAGTTGGGACATGTGCTACGAATGCCTAACCATCGACTGCCTCGACAAGCTATGTTTTGTGGTGTAGGAGTAGGTTGTAAGAAACCTAGGGGCGGCCAAACCAAAACATGGCAGAAATCCATGAAGTCACTGACAATTGGACTGAGTCATGTTGGTAGACATAGGCTACCTGGTTGGGGTCCGCGAGACGAAAGTCTCAATGGTTAGAGACCTTGAACGACATGGCTCAAAATCGTTTGCAATGGCGGAAGTGCATCCATTCGTTGTGCTCTCTCAAATCCTAATCTTCTGGATTCGTCAGCACCTCTACCTTTGTCTTTCTAACCTTATCTCACTGAATTATACTTCTTGAATAATATCTTCAAACCCTAGTCTTATTCATTACCATTAATACCTCTACTATCTTTATCACTATGGGGTTTGATTTGACATCTGTGTCTCTGTGCTAGTGTGGTATGGCAACTTGAACTTATGTACATACGTACGAAGTTCTACGTCGCAACTGACTGACTTACGTCGATTTGACATTCAGGATGACTGGAGATCGTGGGTAACTGAAGAGTGGCAGAAGGCCAGTTGAAATGATCCCTAAAGTGTTCTGCCCATCGATCCAGTCTCCTGGATAGAGATTATAATAAGACAATACTTTTCCTTAATAGTCTCACTCATTCGGGTTCCTGATACCTTTCTCCTTGATGAGTCTAAATAGTTTCCTACTCTTGCCTATCGCCGCTGCCTTTTCCATTTCTCTCGCTGTCTCCTTCCATCACTGTTCTCGATCATTGCGTAGGCTTTTTGTTAGCCTACGTCTTAGCTGACTGCTCCTCATAGCACTCAGAGCCAGGCGTGATGAGTTTTCGAGCATCCATCAGTTCGGTAGACGCTACGCAGATCCACGGCTTCATTCTAGACTTATGGTTAACCTAACAAGCAGATTTCACTGCTGTTTCCACAGCCTTTTAGATATCATTCTTTGATTCGTGCATATGATCATCGCATAACACTCAAACTTTTGTTATTTTGCATCTAATCAATGCAACAAATTGCACACTGCATCAGTCTCACTAAACTTTTCGCTGAAACAAAATATGAACTTAGTCGGAAATTGCTGTCTTTCTATTGAAACCATGCTTCATCTACTACACACAAGCAATTTACATGTTCACTAACCAAATATAAACTAACCTCACGTTCTGTTGCAGAATCCGTGAAAAGAGGACACACGAAAAACTGAGAGAAAATATCCAGAGCTCCTCTCAAATTCTCCGGTGCAACATCAAACACATAAGACGTTTTGTCCGGACTCGTGAAAGCATTACAGTGACCACCATGACTGCTTATGTATTTCGCATATGTATTCTCTGTTGGGAAGGATTCTGTACCAAGAAACAACATATGCTCACAAAAGTGTGCGAGACCAGGTAGTTCCTTCGGGTCCGACAACGAACCTAGAATTAGACCACTAGACAAACCATAATCAACATACCAATGTTCACAGACAGACAGACTGCAGATTTGTCTGTTTCCGGGTCACTTATAAGAAGCACTTTCATTCTGTTGCATAAAATCACCACTTTATACTCCCTCAAGTCATTTACGGACTTTTGCACCACTAGAGATGAAGTATCCACTGAATTCGAACAATTCATCATCGGACTTTAATTCACGTATTATGTTGAACAATATGTATACGTATCCGGCAAAAAGGTGTTCCGATATCATCAACTAAAAAACAACAGGTGAAGAAATATGTTAGTAAAACACTTAGCCATTCCACAATAGACTGAGATACAACAAACAACTATTAGGTGAAATAGATAAGCTACGCTGTATTCCAAGTTGACCAATTTTTGCAAAATCAACTTCTGCAATCAAAACAAATCTAATTCAGGACGTTGTACGGTGGCAAACCATAGAAACTTTGCGACAGATAAACGTTCAGCAAATTGATACTTCATACACAGAAACAACAACAATTACGCTCAAGTTTTGAAAATTACATAATGAACAAGTAAAACGTACTGAAATGGATGTACTACAACAACTAAACAACAATCCGAATCTGTAGGACGGATCGTGAACAGTGTGCAATTTGTAAGCATGCGAAATGTACTCTGAATTCACTATTGTTGTCATTATATAATCCAGGGGTTTCAAGTAACTCAAACATTCGATAGACAGACTGTTGACAACGAAACCTGTATATGCTTAAGAATGCTTAAGAATGAATCCATGGACTCAATCTAGTGGAGGTGACAAACGTAAATACAACCATCATGGTCAGCCTATTTCGCCACATCAGATGTTACGAATACCATGTTAAAGGTACACCACTGCGTCTATTTTAACGTGTCGTAGGAAGTTGACAAACTACATGATTTTCTGTTGCAGATAGGTGGATTATGTAAAATCACCAGCCGCCAACTTGCCTGTAGTTATTTCTTCTTTTACTTACAGTTGTTGTTAACACAAAAATAACTTCCTAGTTATTTTTATGTAATCTTGCTCTCAAATTTCAGGTAAACCACAACATCAACAAAGCTAAGAACATTTTCTACATGCAATTTAAGTTGCTATTTTCTTTTCAGGACTGCATGTATATAAACTATTAGCTATAAAATAACGTACACGAGTATTGATCATCGGCTGGACAACTGAGCTGTAGGTAGGAATATTCGATCACTGTCATTGCAACTAATTTTAGTATAATATTTGAAAAGGTGGATCATTTAAAAGTTGAAAAATCTGTTTATGCTGATTGAAGGAAATCAAAACACGTTTTGTGGGTATTCTGCGCACTTAAATGTCTGTAAATTAGCCAGAACATATAGAAGTATTGTGAGTTTTGTTTCAGACAAGGTATGCTGATACTCAAAGTCTAACAACCTTCGAACAAAAACAACTATTACCAAAACACGTCACAAATTAAACTAATAGGACGGTGTTTCCGTGAAGGTCACTCAATATCAAATATCGACTCACTAGCTAGCATACATCAGTTGTTTTCTTTGCGCTCGACTCCTGTTGTTTAAGTACGATTCCAAGTGTTTGGTAGTGTCAAACGAATGGATGTCTATACAGTCGACCTTCTGATCCTAGTCAATTGTTTGAGTTTGTATACCCAGTGATTTGACGAAGTACGTTTGTTTCAAGGCAGTAGGGCTTCTGGATACCAATAGTCAACGCCTTACCAGGCCCAGGATCAGTTAGCTTTAATATGGAGAATAATAATGGGAAAATTCGAATGCTAATAAGATTTAAGAGCTAATTAAATAAATGAATAAATTAGTGCATTATTTGGTAGGGAAGATTGTGCGAGAGGATCTAAGTGAAGGAGCGGTAAGAGAAGCCGAGATAATAAGCGAAATAGACAAAGTTAGGGGGATACGTAAATGGCGATGATAACAACTAGCAGGTCTCAAGGCATCCATCAGGTATAGCTTGTCCCCTAGGGATACGAAAATCCCTATGTGAGTACGTGTTTATCAAGTCTCTTCTTAAAGCTGTCCACTGAGGGAGTTGCGGTCACCCCGATTGAGAGAGCATTACGAGTTGCGACCAATCTTAATGAGAAAAAGTGTGCGCGAACCTAAGTATTCGCTCTTTTGTGAACAATTTTTCGAGGATTAACCCTAGAGGAGTTGTGGTGATGCATGCTCACGTTGGGACTGTTTGGCATGCCTAATGTGTTGTACGCCATAATCAGGTCACCTTTGATTCTCCTGTAACTCAGCGAATATGATTTCAAGTTCTGGAGTCTATCTTCAAAAGGTTTGTTCTTCAACCCTATCATCCATTTCGTTGCTCGTCTCTGGATTCGTTCCAACAAATTTATGTCTCTTTCAAGGAGAGTGGGTTCAACCACATTGTGAACCTCAAGGTGTGGGCGTGCATATGTCTCAAACAACGTTAGGAATAATACTGGAGTGATAGCACCAAGTTATTTCCGCATATATTGAAGAGTTGCATTTGCCTTGGCTTCGTCACCTCTATAGTTCGAGCTGGTTTCGAGGCTCTCAGTGGTTAATAAACCAAGATATTATCTAAAACAATTATTCCCTTTTATAAATTTTGATAGAAAAATTGGAAGACGTAATTGATCTCAAAAATGGGATCTATTTGCGTTATACATTTCGAACAATCTGGCCACACATATTTACTTGTCAAGGCATTTTATATGAAGATGAATGAAAGCTCAATTAAATAAAAATTCAAATAGACATATGTGTGGACACACATACACAGGGAGCAGTAATCGGACTTTGCAATCAAGGGTTATGAAACATGTACCTAAGTGGCTTCAAAATCAGTTAACGTCAGATTAGCCGATTAACGTTGGAAATAGAAAACCATGTTGAGACAAGGCATAAGATTGACATCAAGACAGCCTTCAAAACATCGTATAGAAATGTTGAAGGATGAATTTTGAGGTTTATGGAGGCCTTGGCTATTAGAAAATTAAAACCCCCCTTATGTATGCAGAAACAATTTGTCATAACACCTTGAATTTACCCTGGTAATCTTTAAGCCTAGGGTAATGTGACATTTTTCTTACCCCTTCTTATTCTATTCATATTGAGTTAATTTTCTCCCTTCATTATTCGCAATTATCATCTTATGTCTATTTGAACTATTATTTATTTATTCATCTTCATATAAAATGCCTTGACAAGTAAATATGTGTGACCAGAGTGTTCGAAATGTATAACGAAAATACATCACATTTTTCAGATCAATTACGTCTTCTCACTGTTCTATCAAGATATTATTTATAATAATGAGCGGACTCCCAATGAGGTTGTGAATCGTTTGTATCATGTGGGGCAAAATGGGCATGACGTGACACTTCGGTTGGTTTAGTTTCAAACCGTATATCACTGTCAATTCCTCAATGGATGTAATGTCTTTTCGAAGCTCAGTGGAATCCTCTTCGCTGCTAATGGACCTCTAGATCTTCGCATCGTCCCAGTGGATCAATGCTGGCGAGCTAATTGTTTCTTACAGGCCAATATTAAATATCAGGAAGAGAAGTGGGCCTATGATGTCCCCCCGCGAAACTCTCGAGCTTGAAACTCGTCAGCTCGTGTGCACTCTATTTACCTTGCTACAAAACTTTCTATCCTGAAGGCAGTTTTTGAGCCAAGATACGAGTGGGTCAGTGAAGCCCATTCCCACAACCTTTGCGATCAGGCGTGCGTGGGGTGCTGTTTCGAAGGCTTTCGTAAAGTCGAGAAATATTACGTGCACCGGTATTTTTCGGTTCAAGCAGGATGTATAACTTTCCCAAGCTATTAGACGATTGGATGCGCACAACCTGCATTCTGAAACCCATGTTGAGCTTCATGGAGTATTTTGTTCTTATCCATGTTCCCTCACCAGACTTTCGAATACCTTCAATAGCATTGCTATTATTGCGACTGATCTGTAACAGGCCGAGTTCTTCCTATCTCTTCCTTGGAAGATCGGAGAGAAAGTAGCTTGTTTCCATGCAGCTGCGAGTCGATGTGATTACAGTTAAAGACTGAACAGGTCACAAATCAGTGAGGTGAGGGCTTCTGCACACTATTTCAAAACTATGGGGCGAATATTGTCACAACCTGGTGACTTTCCTAGGCGCAAGGATTTCAGTTTCCTTAGTTCTAAGTCAGAAATAAGTTGGACATTCCCTAAGCCGTCGACTGGCACTGGATTTGAGCTATACTATGAACATGTGGTTTCCGATTTAACTTATCAGTGAAGTTTGTGTTGAAGATCTCAGACATCCCAAGGTTGGTGAGATCTTTTCCATTTGGACCTTTGAGAGAACACAAACCCAGATTCTTAGGTTTTCTTTCACATGTATTTGGACAGATAGATTCATCTGAAAGCGTCTCCCATCACTTCTAACTTTAGTATTGCATCTGTTTCTCCATGACTAGTAAGAACTGCGATCAGATTCCTTCAAAGAAACCTTTCACTTGAGCCAAGCTCTTCTTTAAACATGAAACAAGCAAAGACAAAATTGTTGAATTATATGGAAAAATATGTTATTTAAGTATTTATGTGTGAATTCCAAGTGTTCACATTTCAATGATTATTGTTGTTATTTGAAAGAGAACCACTCGATGCTCATTATTTTTGAGACGACGGAGTACGTTTGAAGCCATACTACACGGTTCACCATAACTTTCATAAGCTAATACAAACCAAAGCCTTCTTTTCTCTTGCTTATTTTTGTTTCTACCTGGTTCCAGATATTTTGTTATATTTGTTGGACGATAATCAAGTCATTCGATTGCGGTAGTTCTGGTCAATTTGTAATTATTTATGAAATTGTATCTCCTGTTACTTCAGTGAGTGCGTTTACTTCAAGGTAATAGGGTTTTCGGACACCAGGAGTAATCCCATAGCTATGCAGGAGACTAGTTATTTTTGATGCTAATAATAATAGACAGAGAATGCAAATGGCGAGAAGAAGAGGAATGCTTAAGAAATAAACAGACAAATACACAAAAAGTAGATTGTTTGGTAGCGCAAATCGTGTGAATGGACTAGTGTCTTACGATAAAGGAAGGACGTAGCTGAAACTAGGCGGAATGGAATAGGTTAGTGACCTGAGGAAGTCATAATGACAACAACAAACGTGCTTCGAGACTTGGATCAGGCACGGCTGGTTCAAGCAGATGATAATTCGCATATCAATACTTGCTTTTAAGTCTGTTCCTGGAGCAATCGACTGAGGGGAGTATGGTTAATTCTGCTAGAAGAACATTCCAAGTATAGAAAACTATCGATGAGAAAAGTTGA